GTACTAATGAGAGATTTTCATTAGCATGTAGAAAATAAGGATTGGAAGGTTAATCTTCAAGTCTGAAAATGGTGTTTGCAAAACGATTTTACGCCATTGATGTATAAAAGAAAGATCAATACAACAAAAGGATCTGGTATAAGAGGTTTCATGGGAAGATTTGAAGAGTAATTATGAAACCCACACAAGATACTATTCGTGTTTGTTTCATGGGAAAATGAGAAAGAAAGATACGGAAGAAAAGAAATGAACAAAAAGAAAATATTAAGCGGCGAAAGGAAAATTTTGAAAGCGCGACAAAAAGCTCTAATACCATAACATGAAAATGTTAGATTATTTTCTTATTTATCAATGAACGAGAGGAAGCCTTATTAATACAAAGTGCGAGCTAAGCTAAAGGAATAGCCAGCAAAGCGATTGCCGACTAAGCGAGAGGATAACTAATTGAACAAACTCATCAACTAACAAATTGATCTATCCTAACGAGAATGTAACTAATGTAACTAACTCATTTATATGAGAATCAAGCTTTGATAAATAAGTTGTGATGAGAACCATTTGAATGAAGGATTAAATGCATCGAATTAACAATTATCGGGAGTTTAATGTGCCTACATTCTATAACCTTCATGGCATCATACACCAAAAATCTTACATTTTCACTCCATAACGAGAATAGTGTTATTGAACGAAAACATCGAGCACATTCTAGTAGTAGCTCGATCCTTGAGATTTCGATCCAACTTTCCATTATCATTTTAGGGGTATTGTATTTTGCATGTTGTGTACTTGATTAATCGTTTACCCTCTCATATTCTTAAGAATAAAACACCATTCGAAATCTTATACAACGAGTCCACCTAAATTCTTACATCTTAAAGTGTTTGGTTATCTATATTTTGCATCAACTTTAGCTTAGTCCAAATCCAAATTTGCTCCTAGAGTACATTAAATGCATTTTCCTTGGCTATCCTTATAGAACAAAGGGATACAAACTATACAATCTTGCTATTCATCAAACTTTTATTTCCGAGAGATGTTCTCTTTTATGAACATATCTTTCCTATGTAGTCTAGCCCTTCTTCTCCTTCATCTAATCTTATTTTACTTGTCTGTTTCCATTTTAGATTTCTCTTCGATTCCCACTCATCTCATGGTCATTTCACTCTAATTCCTATCACTTTTGTTCTTCCTGTCCCTATATCTGTTTTTGATCTTACTCTTTTTGTTCATCCTCTCTCTTTTCCTCCTTCTCTTCATAGTCCATCAATTCGAAGATCCTCTAGAACAATGCATATTCCTTTTTATCCACAAGATTATGATCACTACTCCATTCCCGATGTCGACTCTACCAATCATCTTCCAACAACGAGTTCGACATTTCACCATTAGGTACTTCTCCTCACACACTTAATCGTGTTTTTTCTTATTCACACCTTAGTCCTTCTCATCATATCTTTTTTGTCAATATAACACATACTTCTAAACCAAAAACTTACCATGATGTTGTTAAACATGAGTGTTGGAGGCTTGCTATGCAAGATGAGATAAAAGCTCTTCAAGATAACAACACTTGGGTACTCACAGATTTGCTTGTAGGTAAGCAACAAATTGGATGTAAATGAGTTTATAGGATCAAACACAAATTTGATGGCAGCATTGAGAGGTTCAAAGCTCGTTTGGTAGCTAAGGGATACACCCAGCAAGTCGATATTGACTACTTGGACACATTCGGTCCCATTGCTAAGATGACTACCATACAAGCTCTTCCGGCAATGGCTTCATTAAACGAGTGGAATATAGAAAAATTATATTAAACAATGGAATTTAGAACAATTAGACTTCAACAATGCTTTCTTACATGGTGATCTCTATGAGGAAGTTTATATATGTCTCCTTCTAGGTTTTAAAGCCACCGAGTCCACTCGAGTTTGCAAACTTTTCAAATCTCTTTATGGGTTGAAGCAAGCTAACGGACAATGATTTGCTAAACTATCTACTCGCCTTTCTTGATCAAGGCTTTTCTCGAGTCGTTATAGATCATAGTTTGTTTGTTCGAGGCCACGGTTCTCATTTCATTGCGGTGTTAATCTATGTTGATGACATGATTTTGGCTAACGACGACATGCCATAGATCGGTCGGCTTAAATCTTTTCTTCATGTCGAGTTCGAATTAAAGATGCGGGACCCCTTAAATTCTTTATTGGTCTTGAAGTTGCTAGATCTTACGGAGGCATCAATTTAAGTCAAAGTAAATATGCTATGGAACTCTTGTATGACTTAGGTTTTATCACTTCTAAACCTCGTTTTCACTCCTATAGTTCCTACTCAAAGACTTTTAAAACATTATAGTCTACCTCTCGCTCGATAACACTTGCATATCGAGTCTTATTGGAAAATTGCTCTACTTAACCACAACTGGACTCGATATTGTATTTACAATGCAACAATTATCTCGGTTCCTTGATTGTCCTACCGATAACCATTTGAGAGCTTGCTCATAGAGTGTTTCGATTAATCAAAGCTGCACTCGGTCAAGGTCTTTTCTTCCCTGCCATCGATGATCTCCGGCTTCAAGGTTTTCGGATTCGATTGGGGGCACTTGTTTAGATACCGGAAGATCCATTACTGGTTATTGTGTGTTTACGGGTTCTTTCTTAATCTCTCGGAAGTCCAAGAAACAAGCTACTTGTTTCTCGGTCTCGTTCGAGGCTGAATACGAGCTTTTGCTCATGCCACTTGTGAATTACGGTGGCTTCTTTACCTCCTTCGTGATCTTCGGATCTCCCATTCGACTTTCGCCTTATTGTTACGTGACAATACTTCGCTCTTCACATTACTTGCTAACTTAGTGTTTCACGAACGCACCAAACACATAGAGCTTGATTGTCACATTGTTAGAGAAAAACTTCAAGTTGGCATCATCAAGCTTCTCTCGGTATCTTCCATTCACTAACCGATAGATTGTTTCACCAAATCTTTGCACTGTTACCTCTTTTCGTACTTGTTTCCAAGTTGGGCATTCATAAAGTGTATGCTCCAACTTGAGAGGAGTATTACGACTAATTTATCAAAACTTGATTCTCGATCGGATGAGTTAATTACATTAGTTATATTACGTTAGGATAAATCAATTTGTTAGTTGATGAGTTTGTTGAATTAGTTATCCTCTCGCTTAGCTGACATTTTGTATAAATAAGGCTTCCTCTCGTTCATTGATAAATAAGAAAATAATCCAAAATTTTCATGTTAATCTAAATAATTTTTTTTATATATAAAAATTCAAAATTAAAAACACTTATTTAAATGACTAGAATCTTTGCTACTTAAGTAAAAACTTTGAAATAGTTAAATTTGCTTAAAAGTTGCAATAATTGTTCAACAACAATCAATTCACAGAGATCATGAAATTCTATTTGGATTTTGTTTTGTTTTATTTCTAGTAGTCATTGCTTTAAATGCTGATTAAGAACTATTAATATTGGCTTGGCGACTGTTAAAGACGAAAGGATAAGAGTTTGAGAAATAATTTGAGTAACCATAGATCCTGTCGTGGGGGCACCTATTGTAGAATTCCTTGTACGAGCTAACTAGGTAGGGTAGCTTATGCTTTTAGGGATTAGGCTGTCCTTGAAATGACCTTTGATTCCTCGATTTTAGAGAGCTTTCTATACAAAGATAATTAGAAATTAGACTTGAGCTTTCCGCAATTTTTTTTCTCCTCAATTTTTTTTTATATTTGTATTTTTTTAAAAATAAAAAATAAAATAGATTTTTTTAAAAAATATATGTTATAAGTAAATTTAAAAACACAATAATTAAATAATTAATTTTTAAAATAAAAAGACTAATTAATCATTTTTCAAATTAAAAAAATTAATTTAATAATTAATTTTTAAAATAAAAAAAAACTAGTTAATCGTTTTTCAAGCTAAAAGAACTAATTTATATATTTCTCTGCAAATATGAGATCTATGAATAATTATTGCGGTAAAACTTATATTTATGAAAAAAAATATCATTCTTGAAATATCTAAATTTTTTTTTATTTGATGCATTGAGAAATCACCTTAACATATTTGGTGGGTCCATTCATTTTAATTAGGAACTAGGTCAATTGTACCCGACAAAACCAAACAAGGGCCACACACATATCAAAATATCATTCTTACTGTAAGAATCCCAATCAATGATTTGATTAATTATATTATCAATGATCAAATATCTCGGTGACACAGTAATTAACTGACCATCAGCCGTGATAGGAATTATTTAATTTTACTAATTTTTGCATAATATAATGCAAGTTGTTGGGGTCAAAGAATTAGAATGAGGAAATTGCAATGACTCGTCGAGAAAAGAATTTTTTTTGTCAAATCACATGTAATGCTTTCTTTGTATACGAAGAAGCATTATTTGCACAAGACGACCATATGACATCTTTTACGGTCTTTCCAGTGCCATTTTCAAAATAGTTTTTTTTTTCCTTTTTCCCTTTTGCCAAACCGTTTTTATATTTTTATAAATAAATGTTAATTCATATCCAAGGAAATATGAAATTTATTGAAGGAAATATTTTTCGTTTTTGGTAGATCCATTTTCTCTTTCTTTATCTCAATAAATCTTCAAGGTTTCAAAAATTTATGGAAGGAAATAATTACGGATGTCAATAGAATTTCACAAATAACCGATTAGACTATAATTGAGTTCAATTACATAGATAACATGGTCTTTAGAAAAACCAGACCTTATATGGCTTCCCAACGTGCTCCAAACAAAATGGAACGATAAGAAAAAAAGCAGTAAAACCCATTTATAATAAACATATACCATATATATGTGTGTGTATATATATATATATTGATCATGTTTTTTTTTTCTTTGAACAAAATATTGATCATCATTTAAGCTAAGGAAACATCATGTTATCTGATGGCAAACAAGTCTATATTGCTCAAGACATGATCCATACATGAGACGATTGTAGCAGAACTACTACTTCATGGTTTGTGCTTCTGGGTATAGATGTAGTCGGTGTGAGCAGCAAGTGTCCTTCTCATCAGGCACTCTTCCTCACCAATTCCTTCACAGCTTTCCTCCATCACCTCTGCATGATCAGCCTCAACAACCTAAGCAAAAACACAAATTAAAACCCCACTTATTAAACAAAATTATATAATAAACCTGTAAATTGAAATCTACTGCATATGAAATTAACCAAGATTAACTACAAAAGAGCCAAAAAATAAAAATTAAATTAAATAAAAAATTAAAAAGTTTCAAGTTATTCAACCTACCTTGGGTTGGTTCTTTGCCAGAGAACCACTAGGAAAGCCTGGCTTGGGGCGGGCGGCATAGGTTAGTGTTGAGCAGAGGAAGAGAGCTAACAAGAAGAGCGTGGTAACCTTGACATTAATTTTTGCCATCTTTTTCTTGCTGTGTTTTGAAGAATATAATATGGGAAAGATGTCGAGATTCTGAGACTTAAGAGGATAAGAAGTTGTGTGGAGCTGTATTTATAGAGAGGGAAGACTAGTAGTGATGGTGTGAACTTGTGATGGTGGGAGACTTCTAAAATAACAGCTTATTAACTAAAGCATATTAAATCCGATCGAAGTATTTTTTTAGAGACTTCTTCCAGAAAAAAGGAATTTAAAAAGAAAGGATGGAATTAATTAAAGGCAGGCAGACCACAGGAATTAATTGAAAAAAAAGGGAAGGTTTGAAAATCATTGGGGAGATCACCACAGATTTGTTTTGCATGTGATTTATAGAATGACTTGACCGACTTGGGTTTAGGACGTATGGCATAAAGAGCAGAAAAAAGGTGGGTTGTTGGTTTGGAATGGGTACTGAAAAGAAAATGGAAGAAAGGAAAAAGATAAAGATTAAAAGTTCTCTATGTCTTTTTATTATTTTATTTATCTTAATTATATTTTATTTATTAATTATATCCTTTTACTTTTAACTTGTTTCTTAATTTCATCTTTGCCGTCAAATTTTTTGATAACTGCATCGGTGTTCGATGACGAGACTCATAATATACTAACACGTGGTATTTTAAAAAAAAATTCTTAAAAAATATGAAAAAATAATTTCCTTAATTTTTTTTCCTTCTCTCAAATTCAAACAAAAAAAAAAAAATCATGCAGAGGAAAGAACAAAAGCAAAAAATTTTTAATTTATTTCAAAATTTTATTATGAAAATTTATTTCAAATCCAAAAAAAAAAAAATGAATTTTTTTTTCATAATATAAGAACAAAAGCAAAAGGCGAGAGAAAAAGAGGGTCATTTTAGGATTTTTTTTTTTTAATTTTTTTCCCAAAATGTGAGAGAAAGCCTAAAAAAAATTAACATATAAAATTAATTATTTATTTACTATACATAAATGTAGAGAAAAAGAGGGATATTTTGGATTTTTTTTTTTTTTACTTTTTCAGATTTTTTAGGGTTTTTTTTAATTATTTTCAGATTTTTTTTTAAAAAAACCACGTGTCAACATTTTATGAGTTTGCGTCGAAAATTAATGTAGTTATCGAAAAATTTGGCCGGAGAGACGAAATTAAGACACAAATTAAGAGTAGAAGGACATGATTATTAAAAAAATTAATAGAGGAATACGATTAAGATAAATAAAATAATAGAGAGACATCATAGACTTTTAACCCGAAAAAATATAATGATAAAATTTCAGTATTTCACTAATGATGTTTCAATTTTCAGGCGAATTCTACAATGCATGGGAACATTAATCTTAAAACACCTATTATGATCAAACTTAATTTTTTGAAACAATTTTTATAATGTTCTTTAGACATTTTATATAGTTTTTTGAAATGTATTTTAACACTTCTATCAAGTGAATTTTACATTTTTGTATGGGAAATACATTCATACGATATACATTTTCTAAAAAAAAAAACTTTATATATGAAAAAAAAAGTCCACATTTTATTTTATATGCTTTGATATGTTCATCCGTGATTTTTTTTTAATCAAAATTAATAATGACCTATATTACACATGATATTTCAGTTTTGGGAGAATTAGCTCATGTTTTCCTTGCATATTTGATATTTAATCTCCAATCTATTTTTACAAGTTTAATTGCCTCTAATTTGTCTCTAAATATAAAATTATTCTCTAATCTATTCTTCTATTATATATTCTCATCTAAGCTAACGAAATACTCTCCTGTAGAAATTCAAAACTAGCCTAATTTATTAAAAAAAACAATGAAAAAAATGAATTTAAAATCATATGACAATTCGTTTTTTTTTCAAATTTATTTTCTTAATAAATTAGGTGGTAGTTTAAATTTCTCAAGTGAGGATATTTTCATCAATTTGCATTCAAATATCTATTAGAAGGATAATTGAAGAAGAAATTAAACTAAAAGGACAGATTGAAAGCAAATAAACTCGTAACTTGATCTAGAATATAAGGACATCTTGAGATAATTTCCCTTAGTTACGAACGGACTTATATACCCTTTCACAACATATTTTGATTCAATATTAAAAGGTATTTACGAATCAATATGTATGTTCATTGAGACTAAATCTCCTCTTCAAACAATTTTAAGAACACACCGATCCAATACATTAAGATCAATTAAATTTAATTTCTCTAGATATCGGCCTCGGAGTTTTCAAGCTATGCGGTTAAAAAAAAAAATAGAGCATATCTCTTTAACTATAAAGCCAACCACTTAGATGTCATTCGGTTATAAAAAATGAAAACTCTAGGTGAAAATGCAAAAATCAAAAGGAAAAGTGAAATGTTTTTCTTCCAAAACGCTTAAGTCTTGTGGTAGATTCTTCATTCTCAACTCTACATATTTGTCATGACCCTCGAAGTGGGTCATGACTCGCATGAGAATTGAGAGAGTCATAGGATCCACATCGACTCAATCAAATTTCAAATATCTAAACCATAATTATCGGACATATAGTAATCAATATATCCATCTAATTCACAACGTCACAACCTAATTAATTAATATTTCTTGATTCCAATACGAACTATAATTCCATGAGATTGATGAAAATCCAAAATAATATTCAACCCAATAACCTAACACAACTCCTATACAATTTATAATATCGGAATCTAATTAGTCATTGTTTCCTAATTCCCGCTCAAATTACGGTTTCATCACAATTATACATATCTAAAATAATAATCATGATCAACAACCTAATAAACCTCTCACGAGATATAACTCTAGAGCTTTAGAGTGTGTAATAGTATCAAAATACAAATTCAAAATATTATAATATAAATGAGTCACGCGATCAATGTATTGACTTCAAGATAAACAATTTTGAAAAGGTCAATAGACAATCTCTTAAATCTGTAAAGCTGAAATGATGGGATATGAGCAGAACTATAATCTAACTAAGTTTTACTTTAATCATCTTATTTCATGGTTTTCTAAGTTAATTGGGCAAGGCTTAAGGACAAAAATGAAGGAGAGAATTAGAGGAAGTAGAAACTTAGTTAGATTATACTTTGGGAGGCTCGGAGGGATTGAAAGGTTGAAATTGGGGTTTGAAGACCTATTTGTCAAATATAAGATTTTTGCTATTTGGTCTTAAATTTAAGTTGTTTATATCTACTTATTGATAATTTTCAAGTTAAATTATATTGGGTTTGTTGTTTCATTAAAAATCGAAATAGGTTAGGGTTATGGTTGGAATTAAATTTAGGGATTTAATGATTAAACACTTATTATGCTAATTGATGCTTGAAATGAGATAATGATAGAGTGAAAATGATTATTGAACTATGGGTTTGAGAAATTCTCAAGTTAGTTGAGATAATGGATGATAAAGGTAAGTTGTGGGACAAATTGAATTAAAAATCAATGATTAATTATAAAGATAAGTTGTGTAAAAACTAAGTTTCGAGTATAATCATCTTATTTCATGGTTTTCTAAGTTAATTGGGCAAGACTTTAGTACAAAAATGGAGGAGAGAATTCGAGGAAGTAGAGAGAGTTTTTGTGGGGAGATTGAAGAAGAAGAAATGAGAAATAAGGGACAAAAGTAGTTTCTTGTTTTTTTAAACAAGGTTGCCCAAATTTTGTTTCTGATTTTTTTTTAATTCTTATTCTATTCTCTTTTATAGTGTTGGATACTAATTTTTTATTTTATAATAGAAGTTCAGATTTTTAATTTATACTAAAAATGTAATTTATTTCTAATTTGCTTATAACTATTTTCCTTAATCTTAAATATATATAATTTTCTAACTTAATCTTATTTTCAAAAGAGTCATTATAATATATATTTTTTAATGTGAGATATTTTCTTTAAAAAGAGTCAATTTTGTCCTTCTAAGTTACAAAAAATATTTTAAAAAATGTGTGATTAGACTACTTTATGTGCCAATAGTATACTTCCACCATTGCAATGCTAAACACACACTTCGTACTGATGTGGGACACAAGTCCCGTGATTTTTAGTTTACTGATTTACTTTATAATATTTATTTTAATTGTTAAGATTTTTTAAAATTAGTTTTTTTAATTAGACAAGTGTTATTATGAAATAATGTTATAAGATTCTAATTTTATTTTTTCTATTCAGTATTATTAAAGTTTTCTTAATTTTGTATTTAAGCAATTGTAATAGCTTCTTGGCAAGACATAGATGTCGAATTAACCGGATTGAGAGTTTTGAGAGTTTTCTTGCTGATGTAGTTGAGTTTTTTGTTTTGAGAGTTTTTTAGAATCTAACAAACTTTGTTGTCCTCCAATCTGCTGCGTCGTTTGATCTCAGAACATGTTGGTCTGGCTGGTGGACAAAGTCCATAGCAACCACCATAGTGACATGACTCAAATGATGCAGATCATCTGCGCATTGAATGGATCTAAGGATAGCATTGAGACAAGGGATGAAAATAGACGAATACCCGATTTATTAATTTAATTTTTTATTTTTTTATTAAAATAATATAATATTTATTGCTCATTAAGAGCATTTTCAAAGCTTTTTTTATATTAATATTTTTCTTTGTAATAAAGAGGTTTGGTCCAAATTTTATCTCCAATACTCTTTTTATCACAATCTCTATCTTTAAAAGTGAGATACCGACTGTCTTTAGCTATCAAATATTACAGAGTTCAAATTACTCTTTATCTTATATTTCATTAACGAAAATTATTATTTTCTATGTCACTCGACCTCTTCACTAATTGTCTTTTTGGGTTATTTGTCAAAATTAAATGTTTTATGGATTTTGTCAAAACAAAGAGTTAAAGTAGAAGTAGCATTGAACGGGATATCGATCTTCAATCTATATAATTAATGGTGCTCTCTATTTACATTAAAAGTGTTAGCTAAAAGTAGAGAACACCATTGGAGATGCTCTAAGAAATCATTATATAAATTTTTACCTACCCCATATCCGACTTATACT